TATATATTTGTTTGCATGTTGTCTCCCTTCATTAGATTGTAAGCTCCTTGAGGGCAGGGACTGTCTTTTGCCTCTTTTTGTATCCTTGTGCTTAGAACAGTGCCTGACATAGTAGGTGCTTAATAAATGCCTATTGTTTGGTTAATTAAAATGCTTTTTGGATGGGAATGGACTAATGAAAGTCTGGGGAATTCCATCCCAGACTTTGTACTGGAAAGCAAATAATAATGAAGATAATGAAGATTATAATCTTTTTCACAAATAGCAAGCTCTTAGGAGCTGAGCATTGCTATGCTGTGGCCTCAGCCTTGGCCAGACCTGCCTCTTCTGTAGGATGTTTGGTGTAGAATCTCTAGATTTGTTTACAGACAAAAAAGTTGGGAGGAAAAGGCTCCCATTTGACATAGTGGTCCTCAGTGAGAAGCTATGCCTTATAATAGCACCTTAGATTCATAGTCCAGTGAGGCTGGGGGTGAGTCAGGGAGTACCAGAACATATAATCATATTTATAACCAGATTTTTTTTTCCTTTGGGGATTATTGGTTGTAGAATTCCTAACCGTGCTCTCCTTCATTAATGCAGATAGTGAAGAGTTAACACTATTTAGCTTCTTCCGCTAGAGTGACCCTTAGCATATTTTTGTTTCTCTTATGATATTTATCATAACCTCTCTGTGATGCTGGGAGATGACAGTCTTAGGCTTCTTTTCTGGCCCTCTCTCTATTGGCCTCAAGCTGGCTGGTATGGCTAGAAGGTGGACATTGGGGGAGTAAATAAATCAAATTCAACTAGGCAGGGGAGTTCACTTAATTCTCCTCTGGTTTCATGATTTGGACTTGAAACCCAGGGCACAGAGTCCTGAAATGATTATTATTAGCCAGTGTTCATTTGGTACTTTAAAGTAAGCACAGCCTTTTACATAGATTGACTCATCTGATCCCCACACCAACCCTGGGAAGTGCAGTAGATGCTATATCATTATCAGCCCCATCTTATAGCTGAAGAAACGGAGGCTGAGAGAAGTTAAGTGACTTAGCTAGACAGTTAGCACATAACCAGGCAGGATTAGAACTCAGGTTATCCTGATTCCAAGCCCAATACATCACCTGTTCCCATCTTTAAAATGAGTGACATTGGTGCAACCTCTAGACTAACCTTATGGTGAAACCAGGGAGGTTGAGAGCATGAGGTCCTTTAGACATATTGATGTATCTTGCTTGTCCATTTAGATCATAGGTCATAGAGTTAGAGCTGAGCGAAGGGACCTGAGAGGCCATTAAATCCAACTTCGTTATTTTATAAGTGAAGGATTGAGACCAAGAGGTTAGGTGACTGCCCAGGGAACTAGAGGAAGTAAAAGAATAGAATTGAGCTTTGGTCCTCCAACTCCAAACCCAGCCCCCTCCCGCTGGACCACCCTATGTCTTGATCTATATCCCCAGAGTATGGGCTAGTTTCTCTATTTTACCCATAAAAATCTTGGATCCCAGAGCAGAACATGGTGGTCATACTTCGTTATTGTTCAGTCATTTTAGTCATATCTAATTCTTCATGATCTCATTTGGGGTTTTCTTGACAGAGATCCTGGAGTGGTTTGCCATTTCCTTCTCCAACTCATTTTATAGATGAGGAAACTGAGGTAGAGTTAAGTGACTTGCCCAGGGTCACACAGTTTGTGTCTGAGGCTATGTCTGAACTCAGGGATATGAGTCTTCCTGACTCCTTGCCTGACACTCCATCCACTGTGCCACCTAGCTGCCCATTATACATAGCAAAATCAATGATTAGTGCCTATTATATGCTAGGCACTGCTCACAAAACTAAGACAGTCTCCACTATCAAGGAATTTATATTTAACTGGAAGTTGGTGGCAGAGCTAAAATTAGAGTGTAGTTCTCCTGACTCTCAGGCAAGGGTTTGACTCCAGACTAGGACACTAAACTGTGTCATGGCTAACCTAGAAAGGGAAGAGGAGGCAAAGTCTCTCTGGAGCCTCCCCTGGGGACTCCAAGGTAACGTGTGAGCCAGAAGACTTGGGTCCAGATCTCAGCTCTTCCACTTACCACATGTGTGACCTTGGACAAGTCCCTCCTCCTCTGTGGGCCTCAGCTTTCTCATTTATAAAATGATGGGGGAGGGGGGTGGAGGTGGGACTGGATGTTCTCCCAAGTCCTTTCCAGCTCTAAAGCCTATGGCTTATATCCTACGATAGTGAGAAGTGTGAAGAGCATGTGTGTTGGTGGAAAGTCGACTACTGTTCTGGGAAGGTGGAGAATGTGCCAACTGGGTAATTACAGTGCTTCCCTCCTTAAATATAATGTTAAAACTGCACCTTTAATTAGTGCACTTAGAAAAGGTCACTAGCAATTACCTGGGAAACAAAGTGGGAACACTCAAGTAATCGGTTACGAGAAAGCCAAGTAGGACCATTCTGAGCAGTGTATAATTGAAGAGAAAATGGATAAAAGTCCAAGAAATTATAGGGTTAGTGACAGCTGAGGTTGGACTGGCCCATCCTCACTCCTCATGCCTCCTTGCTAGGGGTCTAGGCACCAGGCCTTGGAGTGTCATAGTTAGGGACATCCTTCACTCTGTGTGGCTCCCTATGCCAGATAGCTGTATCTGTGATTGATTCTTTAAAGTACCAAGTCATCCCCAGCTGGCTAGTGACAGTGTCCCCTCCACTCCTCACCGCTTAGCAGGGGCCAATCAGTGGAATCAGCTGGACACTGAGGTTTGGGGAGCATGATGCGGCTAGGCTTTCTTAGGTAGACCACTGATTGATTGGGATGCTTTGGATGAAGTAATTTGCATGACAGCAGCAGAATGTCTAGCACTAAATTAAGAATCAGAAGACCTGGTTTTGAATCCCAGGTACTTTATTTACTACTGGCAGGACCTTAAACAAGTCACCTAATTATACTGGACCTGTTTCTGTAAGAGAATGGGGTTAGATGTGATCACCTGTACTTTAAATCGATCATATTTTCATCATAAAGTGATAGATTTACAGCTGGGAGGGACCTTAGAAAAACATCTAGTCCAACTTCTCATTTTACAGATGAGGAAATTGAGGCCCAGAGAAGTTAAATGAATTTGCCAAGTTGACATAGCTAGTAAGTGTCTGAGGTGGGATTTGAACTCCTGGGTCTTCTTGACTCCATTATATCCATTATATAACACTGACTCTCCTATGATTCAGTTACCTGGCTGACCAGTGACAAAGAATTATTCAAGAAGCTTCTACTTTCCCTCTAGCTCAGTTCCCTCATTTCAAAATTCAAGTTCAGAAAGGTTAAAGGACATGCCCATAGCTCCCAGCTAGTAAGCAGCAAATATGAAATTCAAACCCTGCTCTTCTGACTCAGAATCCAGCAATCTTTCTTCATACTGGGTACCACAATACCTTGCTTCTGTCCCCTCCAATCACCTTAGCTTATTCCTCATTGACCTTTGGAACTTTGCTCAGCAGAAGCTATGTCTGACTGCTTTTCATGGCACCGACCAAATGGTGATTCTCTAGTGTCATGGGACTGAAAGTAGTACCTTAAGTCTAGTGATGTACTATTTTTTACTTTATCTTGTTTTCAATTGTTATTTCTATTTATTATTTTTACCTCACCTATGTTTTCTGGTTGATATACTCCTTTCCAAGATCAACATGTCAACCATGTCTAATATCATATGCAATGGTTCATACCCATAGTCCTCCACTTCTGCAAAGAAGGGAGGAAAATGCATTCTCATATGTCTAATTTGGGGGTCAAGTTTGGTCATTATTATTTCACAATATTCCATTTTTATCATTTTACTTTATTGTTTTAGAGGCAGCTAGGTGGCATAGTAGGTAGCTCTCTGGATCTGGAGTCAGGAAGACCTGAATTCAAATCTGGCTTCAGACATTTACTAGCTATAATATATACTATATGTAGTATGTGTACATATATACACGTGTACATACACGCACACAGAGTACTCTGGGCAAGTCTCTTAATATCTATCTGCCTCAGTTTTTTTTATCTGTAAATGGAAATAATAGTGTTACCTATCTTCCTGGGTTGTTGTAAGGGAAAAAATAAGATAATATTTATAAAGTACTTTGTAATCTTTACACTATACAAATGCTAGCTATTGTTTCATTGTAATTTCCATTCACAACGCTGTATTTATTGTGTATAGTTTTCCTGGTTCTGATTACTTCATTTTGCATTGGTTCATAAATGTCTTCCCAGGCTTCTCTGTATTCATCATGTTCATTGTTCTTTAGAAGACAGTAATATTCCCTTATATACGAGTATTTATTCAGCCATTCTCCAACAAATGAGGTAATAATTACAAA